CATTTTGGCTAGTTCGTACAATATCAGTTGCCTATTGGCAATATCAAATGCAGCTTTTAGGTCAAGAAATGTGGTGTATCTGTACCTTTCATCACCATGCACAGTTAGGAATGTGGTGATGCAATTATGTACACCTTTGCCATGGGTGAAGCCATTTATGTTAGGAGACATGTGTTCTCTGATTCTATATAAGAGTTTGCCAAGAACCATCCTCTCAAAGGTTTTACACAGGCAGCTGGTTAGTGATATGGGACGAAAAGCATCAGGCTGTCCTAGTTTCGGTATTGGTACAACAATACTGCTGGTCCATGATGTGGGTAGTTGGCCCTCGGCATGACTCATATTGTACAATACCAACAATGGATTGCCTGGCACACGCCTTAGTAGTCTAACGATGTTGTAGGTGACTCCGTCCTCTCCAGGGGAAGTAGACCTACCCCTGGCGAGGGCGGCGTCAAGCTCCCACTCAGTATATGGAACATCACACTCATCGTGCTGTTTGGCCAGCATAAAGTTAATAAGATTACTTCTCTCTACAGACTTCGCATCAAGGAGTTCCCGAGTCCTAGCTGGTAACATGTCATAGCTAGAGACATGAGCCCACTTTGTTATTAGCTCATTCGACTTTTGCAGAGGGTTTGGATGGGAGACGTGTCTACTGTTTTTACCTCTGATTGTGTTTATGTCTTTCCAGGCCTTGCTGAGGGATGTATGTTGGTTCAAGCTGTTGACATATGTCTTCCATACATTTTGTCTGAGTTCGTTTACACGTTCCCTGACAGCAGCAAGGGAAGCTTGATACAATTGTAACATTTGAGGTGTTCTAATTTGTTTGCAACCCTTACCCACCCTCCTGACCCTAGTCCTGAGTTTTTTCAGCTCAGGGTCATTATAGCACTGCTGTTGCCTGTTCCCATTATGCTGACCACGTTTTCTCCTTTTTTTGGTGGAGGCATTGTTGGTGAAGTATACATAAGTCCTATCTATCAGATCGTAGTGGAAACTTTGTTAGTTGTCAGGCTTGTAGTCCTTGTACCAGTCATGGATGAAGTCTATGAACTGGCTTTCATGTTCTTGTTTGACTGTGATTCTACGTCTGTTGAGTTTACCACCAGTGGGGGTGTCATTGGCTACATGTATACTAGCTTGGATTGGCCTGTGGTCAGACATAAGATCAGTGACAACATCAGAGCTATGAGTTGTGTATGAAAGATTAAAACCAATACACTTGTCTAGACCCCCACCATACATGTGTGTTGGTTCACTATTACCTATAATTCGAACATCTTCATATGCGCTGAGAAGTGAGATAAGTCTCCTACCATTGGTGTTAGTGGTGGAGTCACCTAATTCTTGTATCTAGTATTCAGGTCACCCATCATGACAGTGGGCTCAGTGTGTAAAAAGTCTGGGAGATCTGTGTATTGAAGCTGATCTGAGGGAGCATAGGCATTTAGCACGTTGAGTGTGGAGTTGCCCAGGTGGATAGTGATCCCATGGTACTGAAGGTTGGTAGCCGTTTTGGATACAAGAGGTACATGCGGAAGTGACTTCTTAACATACATCAAACATGTGTGAGTAGAACTAGGATCATAATACACATAATTGGGCAGACTGGGTGGGGGCATACCAGAGGAGGAGACAGGGTTGGGTGGGTCATCAATGTCGCTTTCTTCAGACAGGTTTATGTACTGTGGAAACTTACTGGTTGAAGGTATTGAATCATCTTGAGGGAGTGAAGAGGCAGCACTGGTGGGGTGTGAGGAGACAGCACTGGGGGACTTCTTAAAATAGATGTCCAATTTAGACTGCACAGTTTGCTTTTTCTTTTCATTATAAATTTCTCTGTAGCAAGCAAGTGCATCTTGGATCATTCTGTCAACTTTGGCAAAACGCTCATAATTTTGATCCATGCCATCAAACATTTGCATCCCTTTAATAATTGTAGCAAATGCCTCTGCCATTTGCTTCACTGAAAACTTTTTGGGGGGGTGCAGGTCCTTCTTCTACATTTAGACTGGCTTCTTCCTCTGTATCTTTGTGTGCTTCCAGTTCGATGAGTTCTTCGTTACTGAGCTCTTCTGCTACACTTTCAACCAACTGTTCAACATCTTCATTATCAATTTCTAACTGAAGCTGTTTACCTAACTCCACTATCTTGTTACTAATATCCAAAATAACTTAATTTTCATTAAATCCTCTAAAACTGTTCACATATCTTTTCAGGATTTTCTTCCATATTCCATTCATGCAATGTTTTGTAACCTGATCCCATGCTGCACTAATGTTCTTTATACATGACAAAACGTTGTACTCCTTCCAAAACTCTCTGAGCGTTTTCTCACCTTCAGTAGCAGCAACAGCCTGAGCGAAGGTCGTGCGTAAATAATACGCTTTAAAGGCAGCAATAGCACCTTGATCCATGGGTTGGATGTTAGGTGGAATGTAGACTACCTTAACATCAGGGTGCATGTCGTCCAGGTGTGGTGGGTGTCCCGGAGCATTATCCAAAATCAGCAAATTCTTGAATGGAATCCGTTGTTGCACACTACTCCTTGGCTCGAGGAATGAAACAATTCATGAACCAATCCCCAAACAGTACAATGGTCATCCAGGCTTTCTTATTACTGCGATAAAACACTGGCAGTGTGTGCTTGCTGACATGTTTAAAAGCCCTGGGGTTCTCTGAACGATAGAACATGAAGGGCTTTAGCTTGAAACCAGCAAAATTCCCACAGAAACATTATAGAATATTGTACATCATTTTTATTTTTTTCTTTCTCCCAATATGAGACTCAATATATAAGTAGGTGTTGGTAACTTCTAAATATTAACCAAATAAAATATTTAAATAGTGTTCCCAATTTATGAAATGATGAATAATAATGAAAACACAGTATCATTTTAGGCAGCAGATATTTTGCCATAACCGATCAGTTTCTACTAATGCTATTTTACCGTGAGTGAACTCTGATTGGCTAATCGTCCATTACCGGTGAACAATGCGAGAACTATATTTGACCGTGACTCTGGTGGCATTTGGCATTTATTTTGTTATGAGTCAATAGTTGTGTAGCTGTAAACATACCAAACCATATATCTGTTGTGCATGGAAACATACCATTATAAAAGAGGCGACATTTACTAACAGAACATGACCTAACCAACAAAGGAATTCTACCTAACCTTACCTAACTTCCTAGCCGGGGGACACAACCCCTGTCATATTAAACAATGTACCTAGCCAATCAAAATGCACACAGCAAAATAGTGTTAGTAGGAGCTTAGCTGGTCACAGTAAAATATCCACTACGATCATTTAAACATTTCATCTGTGAACAATGGGTCAATTTATAGCAGTGCACTGTTCTTTCTTTGGGTATTAGAAATGGGTAAAAACATAGAAAAATCACCAACAACCAAACCTAATCTAACCTAACCTATCTCACTCTAATCTAACCTAATCAGGGGAGTGCAGGGGGGCTTTTAGGTTAGGTTAGATCAGTGGTTCCCAAACTGGGGGACGTGCCCCCAGCGTGAGGTGGGTACAGGGGAGGTGTGAAGCCATCTGCCCAAATTTGATATTTTTTGCTCCAAAAGAATATAATGAAGAAACTCTTTCAGGAGTAACTCTCTCTCTGTTTAAATCTTCCACACATCCGTGCAAAACCAAAGTGTAGCAGTCACCCCTATCCGTTTTCTATAATTTCATCTCTCTCACCTTACACGTCTTGTACATGTCATGCATACCATACTGACTGTCACACTACTCTTATCTTTCACAAGGAGTTATCTGATCCTCAACAATACTAAAGTATAATTATAATACAAAATTAAATCTATGTAGATTTTACATACAAAAATATAATGGGGGAGGTGTGAGGACTTCGCAAAAAACAAAAGGGGCGTCAGGTTAAAAAGTTTGGGAACCACTGGGTTAGATAGAATGGTGCACTGATATAAAAAGACTGGGTGAATTTATAGTCTTGCACCGGTCTTTCTTTCGCTGTTATTAATATCTATTTCATAATGATTAGACCATTCTAAAACATTTTTCTTCTATGACATTTCCACCAGAAATTAAGGATAACCGAGATATTAATTTTTCATTATTATTACATTCCCTCAGTCACAAGTTTTGCCATGTCTTGTTTACTTTTGGCGGAGTCTGACACCCTTTACGCATCACTCCTTACCTCTGTCTTGACAACCCAGATTTTATTTTAGTTTAACAAATTTATTGACAAACCTTGGAGTAATTCAGTCAGGTATTAACACTGAGGGTGGTAAAACTTCTCACTGCAACGCAGGACAGAGGTTCATACACAAAGAAATACATCACATTCATTAACAGTATATATAGGTCAGAGTCATGTGGGTGATGTCACTGTTTACTGCCATGCAAGATAGTGGTTCATACACATTGGACGTCATATTCTAATGAACCCGATTCTTTTTCAGATTAAGGTAAGCTGTAGGGGCATGAACACAGATTAGGTTAGGTTAGGTTAGGTTAGGTTAGGTCAGATCAGGTCAGATTTTGCTAGTTGGTTGGTATTTTATTTTACTTATTTATTTTTTAAAAACCAACTTTTCCGTAATGATTGTTGGGAGGGGGGGGGGGTTAATCTCAAAATCTAGTGTTTTCCGGCAGAAATTAATATCAAATTCATTCGAAATTCATCAACACCATAGGAACAACCTATTTTTAATACCAAAATAAAGACTGGTCCAATACTACCTACTCCGGTAAAACTAAACAAGACATGACGAAACTTGTGACTGAGGGAATGTAATAATGTTGAGAAATTATTATCTCAATTATCCATAATTTCCGGTGGAAATATCTAAGAAGAAATATGTCTTAGAATTGTTTAAACATTGCAAAATATATATAAAGACAGTGTAACAGCGAAAGAATGACCGGTGTAAGACTATAAACTGACCAAAGACCGAACAATGTATAGTACAGTACATGTGTACAGCTCCCAATTGTTTACCTTATATACCTAATGACCACCTAAACTTGAGTTCGCCATGCCGAGAGAAGACCAGTGTGGCAAGTACTGTATGTAACACCCCTCGCCATGCCGAGAGAAGACCAGTGTGGCAAGTACTGTATGTAACACCCCTCCATTACTCTTGAGAGAACCACAACTTCCCTGTTTCAGGTGGGAGTGTTTCAATCTATACCACCTGGCACCCTCTGTGACAGAAAAATTCCTCTAATTTTGACCATTTATCTTTAAATATCGAATTTATTGTATAAAAATTAGTTTTTATATTTATATATGTATTAATTAATAATAATAAAATATAACACACACATTTAATCAATTAAAAAAAATTATGATCCAGTTGAAGCCACAAGCACTTAACGGAACAAGTTGTTGACACACTGTAAGGGAGACAGACACACGTGGAGTAACACCATACAGTAGGTGTTGTCTTACCTTCTGTTGATCAGTGGAGTAACACCATACAGTAGGTGTTGTCTTACCTTCTGTTGATCAGTGGAGTAACACCATACAGTAGGTGTTGTCTTACCTTCTGTTGATCATGGGGAAGAAAAGAAAATATGGAGAGAACCAGGATGATGATGATAGCGCAGAGGAATCCTCTCAAAGACAAATAACAGCGGGACACATCCGGAATCTAGAGACGAGACTTATTGTCGTCTTGGAAAGAGCAAACCTGGAAAGTGTTAAGGTAGATATTATTTATGGGTAATTATTGTATTTAATGGGGTAAGTCATGAGTAATGTTGTATTTTATGGGGTAAGTCATGAGTAATGTTGTATTAATGGCATAAGTCATGAGTAATGTTGTATTTAATGGGGTAAGTCATGAGTAATGTTGTATTAATGGCATAAGTCATGACTCCTGAGTAATGTATTTAATTGGATAAGCCATGAGTAATGTATTTTATGGGGTAAGTCATGAGTAATGTTGTATTTAATGGGGTAAGTCATGGGTAATATTGGTAAATATATAGAAAACACTGGCTCCTTGACCCAGGAATAAGACTTACTTCATCATGTTCAACACAGGCAAAGAGGATATAAAGTATGTCTTGTTCCTAGGTCAAGGAGTTAGCATCAGTGCCAGACCACACTCCTCAAGTATTATCCAAATTTTCGTTTAAGTTAGATTATGTCAGTTTAAGAGAAGATAGCTTACCAAATGGTTAAAAACTCATTTCCATTGTTGTAACGACGACCAGAGAGTTACTTTTTAGGCCCATATGCAAGATCAGCCGTGGTGTACACCATGCCGTGGTATCCCGGCAGTCGTAATACAATGGAGTGAAAATGTTGTGATTATTCAAGATGGGCCATGGTGATACCCGACTCGTTTGTTGTTACTACGTCATCGTAATGTAGTCAGGTGTATCAACTGCCGGAAGACTTGGGGGTTGGTATGCTTGCACCCTGAAAACGTTGTCAGTGGCACAAAACGTTTGCTCGTGCTACACGATTTACGAGCATAAAAAACTTGAATCCCAAGCTAAGGTGCACCTCATTTTCCTATTTTCTTGGATTATAAGCCAATTCTGGGAATAAAATACGATCATTTACAGTGAATATAGGTAAATAAAGCCTGTGACAACCATAAAAATGTAGGAATAGAGTGTAATATCTGTTCCTTTCTTCTTTATCGGTATTAAATCTAACAATAAAGTTATAAGTTTTCATGAACTTGGGGTTGGGTGAGTGTAAATAAAGAGAACTATGGCCTGTTCTGTGGATGAAGTCAGTAGAATATACCGAAGTACAGTATTAGGTACAGTATTATAATTTTGTTATGACAGTGATGAACTCACTGTACAGATGAATTAGGATAAAATCTTGAAAAAATATCACCATAACTGTTAGTTTTCTATCAAACAGGAAATTATCTTTATACCAAAATTTTTACTTTCATATTATACAAGGCCAGTTATCTACAAGATATGAAAATTTGAGATAATGTTTCCTACTTGTCTCCACCTGATTATAGTAATACAATAAATACCCCTCCAAAAAAGCAAGACATGAACACTTTCCCAATGTCAGGAGTAAAAATGTATACAATATGTTAAGACATGGACTAAACCAGAAGTCGGAGAAAAGTCTCTGTTGTTTAAATAGTCTTTTATTTGGAAAAATATTACATGTAAATACTGTATATGGATCCTCACTAGAGAGCCTTCATATAGTTAGTGTGCAGACATTTGTTTACAAGGCATATACTGTACTCAACTATTATGGAAATGAAGACATGTTTGGTTAGATTACGTTCATCTTGTGAGCAAATGTCATGGAACCCATATACAGTAGGTATAGTCATGAAATTCTACTAACTAATCAGAGACTAACAATGTTAAACATAGAACAAGTTGATAATTAAAGGGTTTAAAAATATCCTCAATACAGTCTGCAATGTTAATTGCAAATCATTCCTGCATTTTTTAATGTTTAATATAAACTGTAATAATAATAAGGATAAGAATACAATGATAATGCTTATTTCAGAATACTGTATAGCCTTTATTAAAAGCAGGATATGTTATAATACTGAGTTGTACCCCACTTAACGCGGTCAATTGAACCCAGAGGGTCCCGTGTTAAGTGAAAACCGGGTTAAGTGAATAACAGAACATATGGGATTAATTCCAATAGAACCCAGCCCGACCCCCAAACTCCACTTTTTGACGACAAATAACTATGTTGTAGTAAAAATAACATCTTAATTTTATGATGGTACATGCACACAATTAATACTTAAGAGAAATAGAGAAATACAGTCGCCAAGTTAATGTCCATTCAAATAATGGACTCAACTCCCTCCCCCTCTTCTCACACTACACTCACTGGCTCTTCCCTCTGAGAAATTTTTGGGGGAAAACCAGGTATAGTAATAAATAATTCCTCAAACTAAAGTTAGGATAATATAATTGACATTGTTGGATTCCTTGTAAGACCAGGAATATTTTGAATATAAATGTCATATATTTTTCACAAAAGATAACATATTTACTCAGAATAAACTTTACATCTAAAATTTGTATGTCTAATGCAAAATCTATGATGTTTATATTCAAAATGATCAGCAAATTGTAAGAATTCCAGCAATGTAAATTATATTCTGGCCGGATAATTTGTATGAATTTTATGAGCTAAAACAAATATCTTCAGTTAATAAAAAAAAAAAAATATTCTTCGACACTATCTGTCAATCAAAGTACCCCACCTTGCCTTCCCCCCTCTTCCAACCGCGTGGTCAGTCCCAACCCTCCCCCCACCCCCCACCAATCCTCCATTCAAGAGTTTTTAACATTTAGTATTAAATAATACCTCAGATTAAAGTTAGGATAATATAATTGACATTGCTGGATTCCTTGTAAGACCAGGAATATTTTGAATATAAATGTCATATATTTTGGACAAAAGATAACATAATTACCTAGAGAACAATTTTTATCTAAAAATTGTATGTTTAATGCAAAATATATGTTGTTTATATTCAAAATGATCACCAAATTATAAGAATTCCAGCAATGTAAATTATATTCTGACCGGGTAATTTGTATGAATTTTATGAGCTAAAACAAATATCTTCAGTTAATAAAAAAAAAAATAATTCTTCACGGGGTAACAGATGGTCGGTCGGTCGGTCCCTCCCTCCCCCCCACCCCCCACCAACCGTCCCAAGGAGATGTGTGGGATAACCACTAAATTTTAATAAATAATACCTCAAACTAAAGTTAGGATAATATAATTGACATTGCTGGATTCCTTGTAAGACCAGGAATATTTTGAATATAAATGTCATATATTTTGGACAAAAGATAACATAATTACCTAGAGAACAATTTTTATCTAAAAATTGTATGTTTAATGCAAAATATATGTTGTTTATATTCAAAATGATCACCAAATTATAAGAATTCCAGCAATGTAAATTATATTCTGGCTGGGTAATTTGTATGAATTTTATGAGCTAAAACAGGCAGGGTGGCAGGGTGGCGGGTGGTGCGAATCTAAAAATAGCTCTCGAGCCGGACACTCACCGCGTATATGATGAAAAATGCCGCGTTAAGTGAAAGTTCAGCTTTGGCAAGGCACCGCGTATATGCGAAAACGCGTTAAGTGAAAGCGCGTTAAGCGGGGTAATACTGTATATGGATGATCAAGAGTAAAGTATTTTAAAAGAAAAATTCATCCACAAATTTCACAAATAAATTAATACGTAATATCCACGTATGTATGCAGAGTGTAAAATAAAAAAATAATAATAATTAAGGCATACAGTATGTTATGATTTCTCCAAGGTATATGTTCAGAAAATTCCAGAAACTGCATTTTTTCTGGTCTATGAGTAATTTGGGGATTTTACGGAAAGTCTCCAATTTTGTCTGGTCTGAGTTTGGGAACCAGTTCCGAGGTTAAGCTAGAAAGCAAATTCCAAAATCTTCCCTGGAACCGGAAAAATTCCCCATCAATCATGATACCAAGATTTGTTTCTTCAGTATTGGTGAAAGGTGAATAGTCAGCTGTATCTCCACCTGTAAGTGAAAATAAAGTCATTAATATTGTGTTAGTTAAATTTGCGAATTCTGAAACATCTATATTTATGAGGGTTAATATTTATAAGTTTCCAACATCTAAATATTGAGGGTAATTTTGTCTGTTAAAAAAAAATATAAAATAAAAATTCCAAAGGAAACTCAGATTTGTTTAGTTTGATATGCAACACACACGAAAAAAAATTACTGTTTTTCTAATGTACTGTACAGTGATCCCTCGGTTAACGAGCGCCTCGGTTAACGAGATTTCGGTTAACGATTTACCTTCCATAAGATTCTTAACTTCAGTTAACGAGCAATCCCTCGATTAACGAGTTTTTTACGAGCCGACTTCAACATGTTTTCGCTTGCATTTGGCGGTCCACCAGCTGTAGTATTAGTCCGCCAATACAGTAATCGGTTTTAGGGCTTAAATTCCTTACTATTTTAGTAAATATCAAGAAGTTTATACTATTCAATAATTTTAAAAGTTTAATATTAACTTTTTAGTCATTTTAACAATTATTGAACATAATTGAAGGTAAAGAAACTAGTTTCTGGCGTGCCATCCAGCCTGTTAACACACCAGACAGGCGTTAGTCTCTCTCTGTTTTCAGTGGAGGTAACATTTTGCTTGAGACTCTCTTCAACTAAACGCTTTTTTTCTGTGTTTCCAAGCAAATTATTGGTCATTTTGAAATTTATTTTACATTTTGACAATATATAATGCAGTGCAGTGTTGATTTAAAGAAAATAATCTTGAATTACACCAAGAGAATTAAAATTTTATGGGTGAAATGGTGCCATGGGGTGACTTCTCTTCCACCCCAATGCCTTCTCTTCTCCCTTCTCCTCCACCCCCATTCTAATTCCCATCATCATCATCATCCAGGAGCTTTCTACATACACACCTCAAAGTAAGTGTACTTTTCTACCTTTTTTGTTGAATTTAGGCAATTTTCAGTGAGCTGGAACCAATTACCCAAAAACCCATTGAAACAATGGTTTCGGTTAACGAGTTTTTCGGTTAACGAGCAACCTGCTGGAACGGATTGTGCTCGTTAACCGAGGGACCACTGTAGTGTATGTTGTTATGGTGATTCCAAAACTTTGATCCCTTTTTTGGAGAAATTCATTGAACAAAAATTATAAGCCCTTTAAA